GACTCTGTCCTCAGTTTGCCTTTGCCTTTGTTGGTCTTTCCAAAGCCACATGGCCAGAGTAAGACCCTGATGCCAAGCTGTAAAGAGAAAAGAAATTAAGAGGTCTGACTATGCTCCGTGTGGCATATGGGCACTGTAGTGGTCTCACTTAAAAAAAATAAGAAAGAAAAAGTATATAAAAGCAGAGTAATTAGAATGCATGGGTTGTCTGTAGTAGCAAAGTGCATGTTTAACTTCCGTAGGTATTCAAACCCAGCAGGTGCCTGCGCCCAGATCTGAAGGTAGCACTCCTCAAAGAGCCAAGGTGCCCTTGAGGTCACTGCGACATGTTCTCGGAGAACTTCCTTGCAGGGTTGTCTGCACCCTGGCTCTCAGAGTGCACTATGTTCAGAGAAAGGAGCAGGAATGGGTCTGATCCCTCCCTTCCAATCTTCCTCAGGGTTTTTAAGCCCCTCCATCCAAGGTTGTTATGTAGCTGCTAGGACTCTCGAGGTCCTTCTATCCTCTGTGCGCTCCTTCAAGGATTCCCCCTGGCCTAAAAGGGATGTCTGGCTCTAAGAGATATCATCTGGGATCTAGGGAGGCTGAGAACCTGTTTCCTGGTTTTTCATATAGCCCATGTCCAAAGAAAGCACCACTAGCTCTTCAGGAAGGAGGGCTGCAATGACCTAACATGAATGATGTGACTACCTGCAGTGTAGCAAGCTGAAGTCAGGTTGAAGCAAAAAGTTGCAGAAAGAATTGGAAAAAAAATGATTGAGTTCTTCATATGCTGTTTTGGTTTGGTATTTACCTACTTCTTGTCACAAATTTCCTGTTGAACAGCCCTACAGGAGTTTTCAGCAGCTGATGAATTATTATGAACTCTCTTGAAACAACTCAGCACTATGTGAGAGTGATGTTAGTTATGATGTATTTGCTGTGACTTCCATGTCAGTGCACTAGGAAATCCTGCAGGAGTTCATTGCTACTGATAACATGTTAAGATCATCTTGACTTTTCTCTCTTCTGTCCCAACCACTCAATTCCCAGGTCTTTCCTTTTCTTTTTTTCTTTTTCTTTCTCTTTTTTTTTAATTTGAAAAAAAAAAAATATCCACAAAGCAGAGGTCAAATACAGACCAGCTTAATCAGAAATTCATTTTATCTGCTTTAGCAGTTGTCTGTAAAATTGCATACTTGTAAACTGTTGGCAAAAGCATCTAACAAAAAATCCTCTGTATTATTTATAACAGCAGTTTGCCTTCATGTGCTGCTCAGAGAAACTAAGCATCCCCCTAATGAATTAGTGATTACTCAAGGCAGTATTTACATGATACACAACTTCTCGATTATAGCTAGCTGCCATCACCTGCCTGTTAGTTCAGCTTCTCAAGTAGCACGGAAGTGTCTTAAGGAGAGCAAGGTTCTTAATTCAGCAAGGTGGGGCAACATTTTTCTGCAAGACCATTGCTACATTAGGCAGCTGAAATGTGGATCTGTAATAATGAAATGCACAGATGTTTTGCAGATTGAACTAATGAGGAATTATCTCTGTGACACCAATAGTCCAGTGCGACATCACATATATGTAAGTTTCCTGTGCCCCTGCACTTCTGAAATAGGTGGACCACTATCTCTGCTTTAAAAAGACGATCCTGCTTTATGCATAAATTGTGAGAAACATGACATGGTCCTTCACACCTGGAATACTCAGTCTTAGGACTTACAGTTGCTGCAGACTTGTATGTTTCAGCTGTAAGGGAACAATAAAAGCACATTTTGTGTAGAATACTGAACATCTTTCAGGACTGTGGTTATTTCAACTTTCTCACATAAAAACATGTTATTGCTAGCCTTGTAATCCTCCACGTCTTGGAATAATCACACAAATATTTTTGTTTGTACCATGATGAAACTTCAAAAGACAGCTTGGTCAGAAGACTACAGAAACCCACTATTTGTATTAGATGTGTCCAACTTATATCCATCACTGTGTGGAAGGTTTCTTACTAAACATACTAAAAGTGTGTTTAATAAAAACAAACCAAAATACTAAATGTATGTACTTATAGAGATATAAATCTTTCAAAATGATGCACAGAAAGTAAACATTTAAAAATTTTCTTCTGGTCATTTTTCTTTCTAGAACACCATTTCACTCTCACACCTACAGGGTTATTACAGTCATCCTGCCCAGCATGAAGTTACTATTTCCTATTCTCAAAAAAGACATGGATATGTTAAATATTTTAAGAAAGCGTGAATATATTTGTTTTGGAACATTTCAATCAATTTCTGAAAGTTAAAATTACTCACTTTTAATTTAAAAAAACCCAAACAAACAAATAAAAAAAAAACAAACAACCAAAAACAAAAAAAACCCAAGCAAAACCCCACACCTTCTCCTTCTTAAAAAATGTGCCCAGCACTGTAAGGTCCACAAACTTACCCAAACTGATTACAAAACTCAGCTAGACCAGCACAGAACTCTAACAAAGTTCAAAATACAAGCAGATATAAATTCTTCTGAAAATAAGAGTTGAGGCAGGATGTGACTAGCATTTAGAAAAAAAAAAAAACCAATAACAGCAAACAAAACAAACCACAACAAAAAGAAATAAAACACTGGACAACCAGAGAGATGAGCTTACCTTTAAAGAAAGAGAGGAACAAGGATGACCAGAGACATAGTGCAGAATAAACAAATCCCAAGCACTTTTCTGCGAGCATTGTCAAAATAGGCTGGCTATTCTTCCTGAGCAGAGGGTAAAGGAGGATGAGGTCTTGAAGACAGCCTGCAATGACTGACGGATTTGGCAATTACGGTAATAAGGCATCAAACCAGCTTCCCACCAGGGGAGAGAAGTGCATTTGCTCATGTGCTTCTCCAGTCCCCAGGAGCCAGATCAGCTGAGTGCTTGGTCACCAAATCCAAACAAAAAGGTTACATTCCTTTGGACTCACACTGACAGACACACGGGCTCTTTCCTTGGTCAGGAGCAAATGCTATTGATCCCTGCACACAGCTGTGTATGTACTGCGAAAAGGGGGAGTGTGCTGCCTCGGAGATGCTTTTCACATCCCCACAGATTGTACCTAACTCGAGACAGCACGTCTGCAGTGCTTCCAGTGCTTGCACTCGAGTGCCTCTAGAGCTGTTTCCCAGAGAAATGAGTTTGTGTCCCTCTCTGCTCTCTCCCAGCTGCCAGGGCAACTGGCAGCAAGCACCTGTGGCATGGATCCTCTGCCACACACCTGCCCTTTCTCCCAGCAGAGATTCCGTCATGCGAAAGATTGGAAAGATGAAAACAGCCAGTCTCCTGTCCTTTTTGATGCAGCTCTTCCTGCAATCACTTCCACCAGATGCAGGGAACTGCTCTGAGTGACCTCTTCCTCAGCTGCCCACTGCTGCTGGCTCCTCACTGTAGGAATTCCCACATAACCTGGATCCCCTTCCTCCTCAATCCCCACAATTTTATTCACTAGCCAAGAAAAAGCAAGGAAATTCAAAGTCTCGAATAAATTATATTAATCATTTGGGCCTTTCTTTACTACTTTGAGTGCTCTGCACACTCACCCACTTCTCTTTCCCTGCAAAGGGGCAGGATTTGCACTTCCCTTGTTGAACTTCTGAGGTTCCTGCCTCGGCAGGGTACAACCTTGGGCTTCAGGGAGCAGCACCAAGTCCTGATTCCAGGCAGAAGGAGGGATTGGATGCTGCTGTAGCGAGGCTGCACTGGGCAGTGCAGGCTGATAGAAGAGAAGGGCTCTGGGATGTGAGGCACAGGGTGTGCTGAGGAGGAGGAGGAGAGGTCTGGATGGATAAGCGCAGGGGCACTGGCTGGCCCTGGAGACCCCCGGATGGAAACATCTGCCCTGGGATCAGTGGCAGAAATGCAAATCTCGTTATCTTGTAAAAGGATCTGCCAGCATCAACATCCCACCTCTTCTGGACAGGGTCTGCATCGATGCCCCCCCTGTCTCCCAAAAGTGATCCAAGGGGCCATAATGCCCAGGGCACAAGCCAGGAAATGGTAGCCAAAGCACCAGAAAAAGGGTAGAAAAGCAGCACAGCTGGGCAGAGCAACTCTACTGGCATTGTTAGTAATACTGAGAGGTTTTCTGCAGTTTTCATGCTCTCCTTTTCCTTTATTAAATGCTAAATAGACCTGGGGCCTAGGACCACAAGGGGCTGGTGTGGGCCTCAGCTGCAGCCTGGCACAGGTTTAGCTGGCTCCTGATACACCCTCCGATGGTGGAGTGGCTTCCTGGGGGTCTGGGAAGGGTCCTCAGACCTCCTGGCCCTCCTCTTCAGGGCTGGCTGAGGCCTCCCAGGTGAGCATTCACTGCCTCAGCTCCATGTGGAGGGCCCAGGCACAGCCTCCCCTGGGTTCTCCTGGGCCTCTTTTTGCTCCACGCAGATGGACGGGGAGAGGGGGGGGCAGAATAGGGACTGCTGGGAGCCCCAGGAAGGGCTGGCCTTGGGAGACACCCTTTGGAAGCACAAGGGCTAGAGGCAGTAGCAGAGCTGTCCTCCCACCCCCCAGATGAAAGGCTGTCCCCCCAAAGGACCACCCGATGTTGGGCCTCCCCCTGAGCCCGTGTGTGATGGTGTCATCGAGCTGCTGGGCAAAGCTCTTTGTGTGTGTGTGTGTGTGTGTCCCGCAGCAGCTGGAACAGAGCCCCCTCATCCAGGCCAGAGTAATGCAGGCTGCGTGGGACGAGTTGCTGCTCTGCTGCTGCTTCCTGGCATCCTCAGAGAGCTGCCCCAGCTCCTGATGCAGCCACAACAGCAGGCAATGGAGGATAGCTACGTAAACACAGAAGAGGGACACCCAAATGTGCTTGTGGGAGACACTCACTGGACTCCAGGGCAGTGGCCCCAAGGCTGATGGCAGGGCTATTGCAGGGTTGTGGAGACTGGGGGCAGCTGGGTGTCCTGGAGCTCCTGCTCTCAGGTGGAACACATCCAATGGTGCCCCACGGGGTGGAATGACATGCTCCAAAAAGTTGTCATACCTCTGCATAGGATGGAGGTCACCCTCCTCTTCCAGAAAGGACACTCATGTTTGCTCTCAGCCCACTGCAGGGTGCACACTGAGCAGAAGCAGTGGAGGCCTGGCAGTGTGGAGCTGGCCTCCTCCATGCTGTCCCAGCAGGTGGGAAGCAGTTGTCCGGCTCTGTGGCCTTGCTCTCCATGTGCTGCAGTGGGCTGGGGGCAGCTGGGGATATCGAGCTTCTTCGCTCCCTCTCAGTGATGCTGCAGCAGTGAATGTCATGCTAGAAAAGTGAGGCCACAATTGTTGTCTGGCCTTGGGAGGGATGGAAGGAATACCCAAGTCTCTCATGAAGGAAACCCTCCCAGCTCCCTAGGGTGAGTTTTCTCCTTACAGATCGCCTCTGCTGTCAGGAGAGCATCTCCTGAGTATCACCTTGGCTGCCTAAACCTAGGCAGGGCCTGGACATCATGCCTTGTGCACAAGGCTGTCCTCATGACAGGCTTGGAAACCACTTTTCCTCTCCCAGAGATGGAGAGTTCCACTTGGAAACAGACTTAGAGGGGCTCAGACTGAATGTCATCGGTCTTGCAAGAATGGCAAATGCATTTACATTATGGCTCCCTGCAGTCACAAGATCTGGTGCTATAATTTCCCACTTTAAACCTGCAAATGCAGACAGCTGGAATCCAGGGGTTTTGCAGTCCAGCTGTTTTCTGCACTCCTTAGCTCTTAATCATATTCCAAAATTACACTACAAGTGAATTCTTGGAACTGCCTGGGTTGCTTTGTTCCACAGCCATTTAACCACGTCCTGTGGCAAAAATGAGCATGTCTTACTACCAAATATACACCCTGGAGTCTAGGAAATCATACTGGAAAATCACCATTTCTGACTGTGGTCCTAGGAGGCAGTGGTGGAGAGATACCTACGGATGCTTTTTGTATCACAAGCTTGGAGCAAGGGAAACTGGGGTCCAGCTGTAGTGCCAAGGAGTTGGGCTGCAAGCAGTGATGGGGACTGAGGATACCCCACAAACAAGTTTTCTCCCTCAGAAATCATGAGAAGGCACTGGCACTACAAGGCAGACCACGTAAGTTACTGTACTCCTGATCTGGAACCAGGCTCGTTGCTGGGCTCACTGCTCACATGGCCTGCAGGTGTAGTTCCCTGCTCACAGGCCTGACAAGAAAGGAAACAGCAAGAGCAAGATCATTGTGCAAGTCTGTGTGGCACTTCCTCTCTTTCTCTCATGTTCATTTGAGAGTTCTGCCACTGCAAAAGGCTTTCATAGAGATGATAAAACCAGGCCCTTTTGGCTGAGATCATGCAGGAAGGATGCATACCTGCCCCTCAGCTCTGGGTTCATTGCTCAGCCTCCCTCTCCTACAGAAGCAGGTAACATGAACACAGAAACCAAGCTTCTTCACCAAAGAGTTGCGAGATAGACATTTTCTTTCACTGCCATTTCCCACTGTGAAAAGCTGGGATGGACTACTGAAGGCTGAGGCTTACAGAGAATGTCTGTATCAAAGCTCTACCTACCAGTTCAGGCGGTGCTCTGACCATATGAAGTTATGTGACTTGTTCCTCCTCTTCTTGGGATTGCTTCTTCTGTTGATCACAGCACTAAAACTCTGCAAGTTCGGAGCTGGGCATCCCTCCTCTATGGCTGGGTGTGCCTGCAGGTGGGCTACCTCTGTTCTTTCCACCACCTCTCCCAAAGCTTGCTGCTGAATTTGCCCAGTCAGCCCTTCCAGCACTGGCTTGACTTTCAAGCCAAACTCCAGAACCTCAGGCTGGGAGCCAACACAGATAAAGGACAGTTGGCCACAGTCACACTTTACAGCTGAGCAAGGAGAAAAGAGGATAAAGAAAGCCCTTGTTCTGCAGGTAGCACTGCAAAGTGCTTTGCCCCAGGATAGTTTAAATAAGTCAAAAGTGATCTGGAGAAGTCTCAGGCAAAGGTGTCAAGTGCTGGAGTGGATATGCTCTGCAGGGTTTCCCCATGCATGTCAAGCTGTGGAGACCACTTATTGGGTTCAGCTCCTCTCCAAGGAATGTGGATGGCAGAGCTGTGCTAAGATCCTTCTGATACAACAGGTTACACACGCAGAGGCCAAGTGACCTTCCTGGTGGGGCTGGGGATGCTGGAGGACAAGGCACTGCAGGATGTGAACACCTGGCTGGCTGAGCAGGGAGCTCTGGGGTGATCCCAATGCTGCTGGGTGCTGGGATGGGGAAGCTGGGGAAGTGAGCTGTGGAGGGGTCCCCTCTGGTGCAAAGGGAGGCAGATGGTGGCAGGAGGGTCTGCATAAACTGGGGATCTTATGGCTCCTCATTCCCGCAGGCAGCAGAGGCCCCATGGGTGGGTGAGGTGGAAATGGAGCTGCACCTGAGTTCTGAATACTCCAAAGGCACACGGAATAGAGCTGCACAACAAAAGCAAGGTGTGAGGAGCTACAGCAGTGCCAGTGGCCCTTTGTATCCAAGGGCTGAGGCTCTGACACTTCAGTCCCTACTCTGTCCTTTCCCCACATAGGAGGAAGAGATGCAAGAGGTGCAGGGCAGCATACCAGAGCTCAGCTGGGAGGGAGATTTCCCCTCCTCAGCCTATGTGCAATGGCCAGGGCAGTGACTGGAGCTCACCCGTCTCTGGCTCATCTGCATGGGCCCGAGGAGTGCGTGTGGTAGTGGGGAGCACCCCTAATGTTGGAGGTACTCATTCAACCAAGCCCTGTGGACTGCAGCAAGCAGCAGATGGAGCAGGAAGCTGCAGTGCTGGGGTCTGGCAGAAGCTCAGCTGGTGAGAGAGGACTGCCAGCTCCCACCCTGCTGGCAGGGGTTCGCTGGGGACAGAGGTCTGTGCAGTGCCCAGCCAAGAGTGCATCTGTGCTCGTGTGCAGCACTCCTGGAGTCAGCCCTGGCCATCCTGACCACTTGAGAATGCTCAAAAAGCATCCCTGCTCTCTATGGACCTGTGGGTGACTAACATGCTGTCTGAGAAGCAGCATCACTTTGTGTCATGGCCATGCTGGCCCCAAACTCCATTGCTCCCTCCTGGCCTAGCCTGCCAAGGGCAGCTGGAGAGACAGCTTCTCCTGATGCCTGTGTGGGGTGGTGAGGAGGCAAATGAGTCCTTCCCCTAGTTTGAAGGAGAATCACAGAATAAAAGAATTGTTAGGGTTGGAAGGCATCTCTGGAGATCATCTAATCCAAACCCTCTTCTGAGGGGAGGGTCACCTAGAGCAGGAACATGTCCAGGTGGATTTTGAATGTCTCCAGAGAGTAAGACTACAAAACAGCTGGTGGATCCCAGGACAGAGCCCTGAAGCATGTGCTCCAGAGGGACATGAGGACTGGGGATCTCCGTCTCTGTGCCTGTTCCCCATCTCTACATTTCTTTCTCCATCTCAGTGTCCATCTCCCTCTGTCCCTTTGTCTTTCCTGCTCTCCATCCCTTTGCTTCTGTTTCTGTCCCACTTCCCGGTTTTCTCACTCGGCCACTCCGTTCTGGTCACGTCCCGATTCCTCTCTCTCCCTCTGTCAGGCCCTCAGACTTTCTTTTCTACCCTTTTTTTTTTCCACCTTCTTAACGCCTTTCTTTTCCTGCCCCCACACGTCTTTCTCCACCCTCGCCTGCCTTGTGCTCTCCCCACCTCCTCCTCCTCCCTTCCTTTTACCTATTTCGTTCCCTCTGCACCAAGTTTTGCCTCACCCTTTTCCTCTCCCGGTCCCTCCCTTCCCCTCCCGGCCGCAGCGTCCCCGCTGCCGCGGCCCCCCCGCCCCTCTCCCTGTCCCTCACAGCCGCCGGGGCTGTTTCTCCCGCCCTGCGCCGCCCCCCTGGAGCCCGCAGCGCTGCGGGCACCGCCGGCCGCCTGTTCGCCCACCGAGCCGCGGCCGCAGCCCTGCGCTCCGTGCCCGCCGCCCCGGCCCAGCGGGGCCGCCCTCGCCTCTGCCCGCCGCCTCCCCGCGCCTCGGCAGCACCGGCACTGCCCGGCCGCGGCCGCCTCTGCGCGCCCCTCCCGAGGCCGGCGCCGCCCGGAGCCGCTCCGCGGCGCCCTCGCTCCACCGGTGCCCGTCCGCCAGCGCCCGGGCCCGAGCAGGGCCGGGCGGAGACGACGCCTCCCGCCGCGGGAGATGCTCCCGCCTGAGGTGGCGCCGGGGGGGTCGCCCGTGCCGCGGCGGGAGCGGGCTGAGGGGCTGAGGGAAGGTGGCGGGATGCGCTCTGCCGGCGGGAGCTCGGGGAGCGGCACAGCCACCCCCGGGGCATGTCCCGGCAGCAGTGAGCCAGCCCAGCCCTACGCCTGAGCGCTCGGTTTAAAAAAGGTTCCCCCACACTAGCTCGGGGTGCTTGGTGATCCCCGGGCGCACCCAAACTGAGGTCCTGCTGCCTCCAGAGAAGTCCGAACCAGTCTCAGTGCCTGTTTGAGACCCCCAAAGACTCAGCTTCACAGAATCACAGAATATTCTGAGTTGGAAAGGGACACACAAGGATCGTGGAGTCCCACTCTTAGCCCTGCACAGGACACCCCAGGAGTCACACCATGTGCCTGAGAGCATTGTCCAAACATTTCTTGAGGCTTGGTGCTGTGACCACTGCCCTGGGGAGCCTGTTCCAGTGCCCAACAACCCTCTGGGTGAAGAACCTTTTCTCAGTATCTAACCTAAACCTCTTTTATCACAGCTTCGTGCTTTTCCCTCGGGTCCTCACTGGTTACCAGAGAGAGCAGGCCTCCCCATTTGTTACCAGTCAAGTTATATTTCTTTAGAAAAGGAGTCTATGCAGCAGTGGGGGAAAATATTAAGACCTAATCAACAAGAAGGGATATTTAATCCATTAAATAGATAGCAGATAACAAGCAATCTCTAAGGGATGTCCATCTGTTAGAAAAACAAATGAAAGTTTAGAGGTCTCAGTCCTGGGGGAGGAAGTTAGCTTGCCTTGGGAAGAAGGATAATGAACAGGAAAGAATGCAGCACTTACGGGCAACCAGGACATCTGACAGGTCTATCAAGATAAGGAAGAAACTAATAAAACCAACTCAGTAATTGTGCTGAAATCAGCCCCAAGTGGGTGAAAGGTAATTCTGGTAGGGGGAGCTGTCACCACTGACCCACAGACCACCAACCCAAGAAACCCCCAACCCAGAAGAAGAGACGAACTGAGCATACAGAATAATTAGCGTGAGAAGTGAAAGAATCCTTAACCTATAGAAGACAGAGTACTAATTAATGAGAACTAAAATAATTTGTAACCAATGAACACTAATTCCTTTGTTTTGCTGCTGTCGCAGGTGCAGATCTGGCAGGGTTCTGTTTTCCACAAATGCTGTATATTGTGTCTACATCCTGTATGCAGCTCCCAGTATGAATATCTTCTTCTCCTTTTCCACAGGTGAGTAGTACAGTTGCTGCTATCAACAGCAGTAACTGAGAATCCACGAAGCTGAACATGTCTAAATGTTAGATTGATGTACATTTCAGCAAACAAAGAACTACCAAAATTACCTTTTATCCACTTGGAGCTGATTTCGGTGCTATTACTGAGTTGGTTTCATTAGTTTCTTCCTTATTTTGATAGACTTGTCAGATGTCCTGGTTGCTTGTAAATTCTGCATTCTTTCCTGTTCATTCTCAAAGGTACATCCTTCTTCCCAAGGCAAGCTAACTTCCTCCCCCAGGACTGAGACCCCTAAACTTTCATTTGTTTTTCTAACACATGAGCATCACTTAGGGATTGCTTGTTATCTGCTATCTACTTAACAGTTTAAACATCCTTTCTTGTTGACTAAAAGTCCTAACATTTTTTCCTACTGCTGCATAGACTCCTTTTCTAAAGAAGTATAACTCGTTCAGTAACATCGCCACCTCCCCTCAAGAGGAGGTTGTAACTGCAATGAGGTCTTTCCTCAGTCTCCTCCAGGCTGAACAGCCCCCAGCTGCTCCTCACACGGCTTCCCCTCAAGGCCCTTCACCATCTTCGTAGGCCTCCCTTGAATGCAAAAGCTTCAGGGCCACAACTCCCTACCTGACTAAACCTAAAGACCCCCAAGTTTCCCCATGGACCCAAAACACTCCCAATGCTGCTTTGGCCCCACCCCAAACCTTCCTCAACGGCTTCCCCTCACCTCCCCACACCCTCCTTAATTGCCCCCAAACAGCCCCACCCCTGTGCCAGCAGCCAAAACCCTCCAAGTCCTGCTCCAGGGTGCACCCATTCATCTCCATATCCTACCTGAGTGTTATCCCTAGTATGCTCCCATCCTGCCACAGTACACTGCTTCAAGGCCTCAAATACCTCCAAATTGTCCTCTGAGAGTGTCACTAAGATGCCACGAATACTTACAAACCCTACCCAAGTACCCCCAAAAGCCCCTGAGCCTGTCCCACAGCCCACAGAAATTCCAACCCCTGTTTCTGAATCCCTGAAAGCCCTCATCCAAAGAGCCACAAACTCTAATTTTCCATGAACACCCCACAAACCTTTCTGTAGGCCACAAAACATCCACAAATCCCTCCTACAAGCCATCAAACAACCCCAAACTTGTCTATGGTCCCCCAAAGTTGCCAAACTCTGCCTCTAGGTCCCCAAAGGCTTCCACCAAACACCTTGCTCTTGGGCCAGGCATACATATCAAATCAAACCCAAATGCTCCCAAATACTCATATAAATGGCCCCAACAACCTAAACCCTGCTCCCAGGCTTTCTCAGACATCTCCCAGGCCGTGGCAAAGGGTCCAAACCCCAAATAGGTCCAACCCCCGAGTCCCAAATGTGCCATAGTTCATGCTGTCTCCAAGAGATTTCAAACCCTGCCCAGTTTTATTCAAAGAACCCAAAATTTGTCCATGACCTCCAAGCAAACCTTGGCATACTTCAAGACAGTCAGAAACCTCCTCAAAATCCTAAGACCCTGAATCCTGCCACAAAATCTCCTAAAAATGAAGGAAGTACCACACCATCCCCAGTGACACTAAAGACTCCAAACCTGCTTCATGCTCCAAAACCCCTGTAGTGTGCCCCAGAACCCTAAAAATGCTTTCAGTTGGCACTCCTCCTCCTGAAACCCATGAGCAGGTTTACTGAAGACCCTCCAAGCCTGCCCTATGGCTCCCAAATGCCTGAAAGCCTGTTTCAGGTCCTTCAGAG